TTAAAGGAGGGTCAGGCCCGGCGCTTAAATCAGTGACTCGCTAATTGCATTTGTCCGTCCCATGGGGAGACAAGGAGTAGTCCAGACCATCACTTGTGGCGACCGTGAGACACTGCGCTAGGAATGAGCGGAGTGCAAGGAACCACCACGCAGGGAGTCACGGGAGGGACCTCTGCTCCTGAAAGGGCATTAGTGGACAGGGAGTACTCGGCGTCCGAGCCCCGAGGGTGAAGAACGTGGTCCGTGGAGCGCCCTTACCTGATACGTGAGGGGGCGGGGGGGGGTGAGCGAGGCCGGTCGCCCTCTGCTTCATACTATGGCATGGGGCTGTACATCAGGCTCCTACGTTCTCTCTGTGCCATTACTTTAAGCTTCGGTATACTTCTCGGGATGGATTGAGGTCATCCTGGCGACCCTCCCCCGACAAGGCAAGGGTACCCACCTAGAGAGCACACTTACGCGTCTGGCCCACGAGACGTAAGGGCCGGCTTACACTGTCTACGACCGGCGGCTAGCGGCCAGAGCGGCTTCAGCAGTCCCGCTATGGCGTCGAAGCACACTGTGAGCAGGTGCTCGCCCGCCAGGGGGGGAGAAAAGGCGATACCAAGTCGAAACCACCGGTGATCGTAAAGCACTCCTCTGTCTGTCCTCGTCACCCAGGCACAAAAAAAGAAAAACACTCAAAGCGGCCGCGCGGGACCCTGTTCCCTGTGTGCGGGGGCAGATGCAAAAGAAAAAGAGGGAACCCCACAGGAGGGGAAAGCATAAAAGGCACCGGAGCCCATAAGGGGTATGGGCACACTTAGTCATGGAAACACAATCCTCCTAAACTGCTATGCCCGATTCAGAAGCTCATGGCAAAAAATGTAAACAGGATACACACCATGTGTCGTCCGCTCTATATCTCTAATCGTTTGCTGTATGCACTAGCACGATCCGGAGGGCGCGCGTTCTGCCGCGGGCGGTTTATTTTTACCGGAAAACAAAAAAATAGTTGTTATTCTTCGTAAGGCAAGTTTAACAAAAAACAAAAAAAAAAAAAAAACACAAGAGGAGAGAAGTAAACACAACAAACAAAAGTTGCAGAAAAAGAATAGGAAAGAGAAACCTAATGCCAATTGGTTGCAACGTCTAAATGGCATCTGAAGAAATAGCAGCTGAAGGAACAATCTAGAAGGTGCTGCTTAAAGAATTTCCGCGAAATTCAGGGCACAGGCAGTGCCAATACTTTATGATTCGTGCTATCCAAAATGTGGGAGGCCATCCAGCCGAATGCTCTTCAAGCTGGCACCAGAAGGAGAAGAAAAAAAACGTGTGAAGCGTGAAGGAACGGGTAACAAAACCGAGGGAGCGTCGACTGTTGCGAAATCGTTGAGCCGTGGTGAATTTTGGCTTTTGGTAGCCAAACAAGTAGGGCGTTTGGCTCATAACCCACACTCTCTGGTGGCTCGTCTCCTCAAAGCTCGTTACTATAGGGACTGCTCCATCTTGGAGGCCACTCTGGGAAACTCCCCCTCTTACGTTTGGAGAAGCATGTGCCAGGCTAAAGTGGTCCTTGAGAGAGGATCCCGCTGGCGAATTGGTGACGGCCAGACTGTTCGTATTTGGAAAGACAGATGGTTGCCAACTCCTGTTTCTTTCAAGGTCTTGTCTACTCCTGTGACGGAGCATGGTAATACTTGTGTCAGTTTCCTTATTGATCCAGTAACTTTGCAATGGAAGACAGATATTCTAGGAGCTTGGTTTTCTGCGGAAGAAGCAGCAATCATACATAAAATCCCCTTGAGTTTCCGCCAGCCACCGGATACGTTGATCTGGCACTTTGAGAGACATGGCCATTACTCAGTTAAAAGCGGATATGAGGTAGCAAGGCAATATCTTCTCCAATTAGGGGGGGATGTCGTTCAAACCAATGGTACGGCCAATGGGATTACTGCACCAGTCTGGAGAAAAATATGGGAGGTTCGTGTCCCGCCGAAGGTCCGCCTCTTTTTGTGGAGAGCCATGCTAAATATTCTGCCCACCAAAGTCAACTTGAAGAGGCGGGGTGTCGCTGAGCTGGGTGGGTGTGTGTTTTGTGGAGAGGAGGAAACCGGCTTTCATATATTTGTGCAATGCCCAATGGCTGAAGCGGTTTGGCATCACTGTTCATGTTGGGGCTCTCTTCAAAGGGTTGTGGCTGTTGACCTCACAGCGTGGTTCCAAGATGTTGCCCTCACCCTTTCAGCCCCTGAGTTAGAGCAAGTCATGATTTGTATGTGGGCTCTGTGGAATGAACGTAACCAAGTGGTTTGGAATGACCGTTGGCGGAGTGTGTCAGAAATTGTTAGTGGAGCCATCCGGATGTTGCATGATTCTTATGAGCTTCAATCCCCTTTGATCCCTCCATCTAGAGTCAAGGCGAAGTGGCAGCGTCCGCCCTTGGGGTCTATCAAAATCAACTTGGGGGAGGCTTGTCGGGGTGCAACAGGGACTGGGGGGATTGGAGTTGTGGTTCGTGACCATGTTGGTACTTTTCTTGCATGTAAACTTGTGGTTGTTCAGGGGGTTTCCAACCTGTTGCATGCAAAATTGCTAGCCTTGAAGGAGGGGCTTTTGTTTGCCCAAAGATGGCCTTATGTGCAGCGGCTCATTGAAGGTGTTGGTCCAGGAGTTGGTGTTGTTCTAAGCCAAGTATCACAGGATTTGTCCCACTTTGGTTGCTTAGTTGACGACTGTAAACTGTTACTAGTGCAGCAGGGCAGTATATTAGTACAACAGGTGATGAAGGAGGCTAATGAGGCGGCTGCAAGACTTGCTAGGATCGCTTTACACTCCCACGGAGCGGCTGAGTGGTTCGGGGACCCCCCAGTAGTTTTGCTTGATGCCTTAGTGGCAGACTCTTTTTAATTCCCTTGTTCTAGAAATTTTATTGTACGGCTGGCATGGGTGGTACTCTTTCCTATCCCGGGGTTTTATCCCATGTGGTTTTCCTCGGGAAGGTTTTAACGAGGCCACCTTAACATGCCCTTTTGTACACAATTTTATAGTTGAATGGAATGCAACCCATCGCTTTTTCCCCTCAAAAAAAAAGAATAGTTTTTTATACATACAAATTTTTTCCCCCAAAATAAATGCAGATTATTGAGTAAAGAACTTCTTCTAGTAGGATATGAGAATAAAATAAACAATGAAGTGTCATTTCTTTTCAACTTTTATTTTTTCATTAATATTTTTTAATGTTTATTATAACAAAAAAACCTAAAATTATCTGAAACTATTGTTTAATTAAAACAAGATTATAAAATAAAATAAAAATGTTAGCACACTTTTCCTTCCTCCTTCTCGACTTTTCCAACTCAGAGACTCCCCACCACCCAACTCTCCTCACTCTCTCACTCTCACTCTCTCACTCTCTCACTCTCACATCTCTTCATAACCCATGTGAAAACAGCAACAAAATCACACTGAAACACATAATTCAAACCACCACAATAACTATGACCCTCGATTTGTTCAATTGGGTCGCCGGTGGCTGTTACGGTTCGAGTGAGTGGGTGGTGATGGTGGAGGGAGGCTGTAGCGGAGGCTATGGCATTGACGAGTTTGATTCAAGCCAAGGATCTGATTGTGGTGAAGGTTGTGGCCTTGAAGTCGGAGTGGGTCTCACAAAAGAAGGCAAAGAGAGAAAGGAAGAGACAGTGGGGTGTTTAATTTTTGGGTCTAGGATTTGAGAAAGGTGAGAATGGAATAGAGCACGATGATGTCTTGTTCCAGCCGAAACTATTTCCCCTGTTTTCACTTCCCTCTGAAAATGATGAAAACGTCTAAAAGTTGTTTTCTCGTTTTATGAAGAAAGTTGAGATCGTTTTCAATTCTTCGTTTTCCGTGTTTTCTAACTTAATTGCACCGAATGCATTTTGGTTGTTTTTATTCTCGGAAAACAGAAAACGGGGTTAGAAAATGATAACGAACGAGCCCTAAACTTTCTGTTCTTTTCTTCCTCACTGAAAATTCAATGACCAATTTCACCAATTAAAAACCAAGCCCACAAAAAATAAAAAAAATTCAAACTTTCTTCAGGACTGATTTTGAAGAAACAAAAAAGTCAAAATGTGGAAGCTGAAGATAGGAGCAGAGACAGTTGGAGAAGGCGGTTATCAATGGCTGAAGAGTGTGAACAATCACTTGGGACGGCAAGTGTGGGAGTTCAATCCAGAGCTTGGAAGCCCAGAAGAGCTTCAACGGATTGAAGATGCCCGCAAGGCTTTCTGGGACAACCGTTTTGAGAGGCGGCACAGTTCTGACCTCCTCATGAGAATTCAGGTTACAGACACAAACTTTCTGCAAAGCCTTCCATTTCTTGAACTTTCATCTGGGTTTTTCTCTATTTGTCAATTCATTGGTGTTTGTTTATTGTTGGGTAAGACTTTTCTCAAGAAAGGATCATACTGCATATGGCTGTATGGTTTGTCCTGTATGCCAATTACATGTTTATTGTTCACAATATCACTGTGGTCTTCTGGATCATCGAATTATGTATGTACAATCACCTGAATTTGATAATGTGGTCAAATTATTCACACTGCATTCTCTGATTCCATGTGCAGGGATATGCATTGTAAGTTAGAATATTTCTTTCTTCCCGTGTCGTCATTCCTATGCTTAATTGTATGCCATCCAACATTTTGCATGCCATGGTGATATGGTCATAGAAAATTTTCATCTTTTCTGTTTCTTGTATCTTTGGCTTTCATATGTAGCATCTGGGTATATCTATAATAGTTTTTGTTAAAGAATGGCTGCATAAACCGTGTAACCATCCTTAAAATTTGTCTCCTCAATCTTGCCTAATTTGTTAATCCCCTGACAATATGAGCAAAGGAGTTTAGCAATTTCAGGACAAAGGATATGAGGTTTGAAGTTTGTGTTTTAGTTTTTTAGTTACTATATTTTGCAACACTACTTTTTCCTTTTGTTTTTGTTTTAACCAATGTTTCTTTCTTATTAATGAAATGTAGTTCGAAAAGGAGAATCCATGTGTCACTAATCTGCCACAACTCAAAGTTAAAGATGAAGAAGAGGTGACGGAAGAGGTGGTGAAAATGACCTTACGAAGAGCTATCAGTTTTTATTCAACAATCCAGGCACATGATGGTCATTGGCCTGGGGATTATGGGGGTCCAATGTTTCTGCTTCCTGGTTTGGTAAGGGAGAAACTAGTAAACACTCTGTTTCCATCAATATTTGTATCAAAACACGGCAAATCTTTATATCATGGCTGAATATGAGAAAGAAGTTTTACATTCCAAAAGATGGTCGCATATTTGTTTTTGAACTGCATGGCCATTCTCATATTACCAATTGGACCAATGAATGGTCCAATTGGTAATAGTTGGGTAACTAAGTATTACTTACCAATTGCAATTTGCAACAGTTCATTACACTTTCAATTACTGGAGCTCTAAATGCTGTGCTATCAAAAGAGCATCAACGTGAAATGTGCAGATATCTCTATAATCATCAGGCAAGAATGGTTTCTCATGAAGTTAATGCTTTTTAAGAAAGCTTATTTGCACATAGAATTTCAGGTTACTTTCTCCCTGTCTGATAATAAGATGACAAACTGATATGACTCGTATTCGTTCTGCTCTTCTTAAAGGAAAATATTAACATTTTATCAAACTCAGTGAATTGCTTATAAGTTATACACATGAATGGTTTGTTTTTATACCAATAATGTCATTACTACTTGTCTTAACTAATATTGAATTAATGAAGAGAAGAACTGATGAATTGTTTTTGCAGAATAAAGATGGGGGATGGGGTCTACATATTGAGGGGCCAAGTACCATGTTTGGTACTGCACTAAATTATGTAACTTTGAGGTTGCTTGGTGAAGGTGCCGATGATGGACAAGGGGCAATGGAATTAGCACGAAAATGGATATTAGACCATGGTGGTGTGACTAAAATTTCTTCATGGGGGAAAATGTGGCTTTCAGTATGAACTCAATGCTTATATTGTTGGATTGTGCCAAATACGTAGTCCTTTGGAAATATTAGTTGACATGCATCTTTGATGGTGATAGGTACTTGGGACATATGAATGGTCTGGGAATAATCCACTGCCGCCAGAAGTATGGCTATGTCCTTACTCTCTCCCATTTCATCCCGGTCTCTCATCATTATTGTTACATTTGACATTGATGCTATAGGTTCACTCTAGGCAGGATAACAAGAAATTCAAGTCTCCTTTCATTAACAAATCTTGATCAAGAAAATGAATATACTTTCTTTCCATTATGATTAATGAGGTCCCATTAGCATTATTAGGGAACATACGTTTGTGCATTTTGTTAATGTGTAACTTTTACTCTTCATTGGTTATGAATTTGCGAAATTTCCACTTATAGGAAGAATGTGGTGTCATTGTCGAATGGTGTATTTGCCCATGTCATATTTGTATGGGAAGAGGTTTGTTGGACCTATCACACCTACAATCTGGGCATTGAGGAAGGAGCTTTATAGTGTCCCCTATCATGAAGTTGATTGGAATCAAGCTCGCAATCTTTGTGCAAAGGTTGGTAAGAGACATCTGTCGTTTTGAATATGTTCTTCTTCCTCCAGCTCCCCTGCATAAAGAATCCCATGTCTTTGAGTTTAATTGTACACTTCCGCTTTCCATAATTTAGGCACAGGTGAAATATATGATAGCTTTTTGTGCAAGTACATTTATGATTTAGGGTCCTAGACATGGTTAATTGGTAGATTGTGTTCCTATAACTCCTTGAATACAAATACAACACGTGTGCACTGCATCTATTTATATAGGTGCATGCATATTTTCATCTAATTGTAGTTGTACAGGTAATCTATATATAACAATTTATATGCAAATGTTCTTTTGATGCTTACATGGGATGCTTGATACAATTGTTAGGAAGATCTGTACTACCCACACCCAATGGTTCAGGATATTTTGTGGGCATCTCTTCACTATGTATATGAACCTGTTTTCACGCGCTGGCCTGCGAAGGAATTGAGGGAGAATGCTTTGCAGACTGTAATGCAGCATATTCATTATGAAGATGAAAATACTTGGTATATATGCATAGGGCCTGTTAACAAGGTATGCATATCATCACGTGCTTTTTGATTTATATGTAGAAGTAGTGAGCAGTGTATGAAATTACAAGTTTACCATGTTAATTCTTTTATTGGTGTACATTAATGTGTGTGAGATGTTGTACAACTGACAGCAAGCACATTTTTTAGGAATAGAACAATATGATTCAAAGAGTTATATTTGAAAGAACAAAAAATACGTCATACTCAAGGATGTGGTCGCTAACCTGTTACATTGTATTGAAAGTTTCCATTCTAGAACGTAAGAAGTCCATGGTAAATCGAAGAAAAGAAACTTTTTGCTAGTTATACGCCTTTTCTTTGAATTTTTTCTAACCTACTAGTAGCCTTCTATTGGAATTGTTTGCTTGACTTTTTGTCATTTTTCCATGGCTGCCAACAAGTCTCACACATGTATCGATTATAAAGTAATTGAATCATTCAAAAAATCTTCAAACACATTTCAAATATCTAAAATTAATTTACAAGTTGGATTAGTAATTGACTATCGTAAACATCTATCATCATCTGCCAATAGATCTCATACATCTATGAACATGGTTGCCAAATGCCAATGGAACTGCACAATTGACACTTTTCTTTACTTCACTGATTCACTTAGATGCAATGAGTAGTTGTGTGGCTCTTGATTTTCTATATGCCAAACGATGCAGGTGTTAAATATGCTTTGCTGTTGGGCAGAGGATCCAAACTCAGACGCATTCAAGTTGCATCTTCCGAGAATCCCTGATTATTTGTGGGTTGCTGAGGATGGCATGAAAATGCAGGTCCAGTAATAGCATTCAATTGTTTCTCCCTATCTCTTCTCCCACTCCCTCTTTCTCACCTGAAACAATCTCAATTTTGGTCCTGTATCATTAGAGTTATTACAAACTTACAACTTTGTAAATATGCTGCTAATTGTTTTTTTTTCCTTTTGCTGCAGGGCTACAACGGAAGTCAATCATGGGATACTTCTTTTGCAGTTCAAGCGATCATATCAACTAACCTTGCTGAAGAATTTGGACCTACTTTAAGAAAAGCGCATGAATACATAAAAGATTCCCAGGTTCTTTTGGGCTTAAAATCATACTGTTATCACTTAAAAATTATGCTAATTATCCTTGCTTGACTAGTACCTTGCTTTTGAAGGTCTTAGAAGATTGTCCTGGAGATCTGAATTTTTGGTATCGTCACATTTCAAAAGGTGCCTGGCCTTTCTCAATAGCAGATCATGGATGGCCCAGCTCTGACTGCACTGCAGAAGGACTGAAGGTAGCTTGGAAACTCAACATTTCACATACATACATTTCTTTTAATAATATTTATTTCTTTGTGCAGGCTGCCTTATTACTATCAAAACTTCCAACGGGAATAGTTGGCGAATCATTGGATATGAAGCGATTATATGACGCTGTAAATGTTACGCTTTCCTTACAGGTAATGATTGGCTATATGGGAGTTGGAATCTGACACAGGACATATTGATGGAAATTATAAATTAGGCAGCTCGTGTCTTAATATTTTGACAGAATGTTTACATATTCCTGCATTTTGGTTTTAGGCTTACTTTATCAATTCCCTAATCTTTTGATTTTGGAAGTACTGCAGAATGATGATGGTGGTTTTGCGACTTATGAATTAACCAGATCATACCAGTGGTTGGAGGTATGAATCATTTATGCTCCTTTTCTTTTCCTTCTTTTCCCTTTTTTATTTTAAGATATAGACCATATGAGTATTCTCTGTAGAGGTATGCTTTCAATGGCAAACCCATTGTCTAACAAGTTTTGTGAATATGCTGCCAAGTCTCCTCATGTTTTTTACCATTATGTACTTTGAGCCCTTGAACTCTATTTTGTAACAGGTTCTATTTTAATCATGGTCATTGTGGAATCTTATTATTTTTGTAGACTGGTGGTGAGGTTGGATTGCGTTTAACTGTCTATTGGGTTTCGGCCTATGCCATGTTATTCTGTTTGCATTATGCCGAAACTTTTGTGTCAAGTGTCAATATACTGTTATATTGATGATGGTTGGATTAGATCTGTATGATTTGTTAAATCTATCTTATTTTCAGCTAATCAACCCTGCCGAAACTTTTGGTGACATTGTTATCGATTATCCGTAAGATTTCTGCACACATAATTTTGAATGTTATTCGTACATTTAGTCCTGTATTGTGGAAAATGACTGATGTCATCTTGACTGGAACGGCAATGCAGATATGTGGAATGCACCTCGGCAGCAATTCAAGCACTTACAATGTTCGGAAAATTATATCCTGGACATAGGAGGGAAGAAATAGAAAGCTGTATTGCTCGTGCGGCAAAGTTCATTGAAAATATACAAGCAACAGATGGCTCTTGGTTTGTTTTCAAACTCAATATAATATTCATTCATACATGTACCCGTTTCACTGTGCAGTCTGGATGTGTGCCAGTGGATATTGTTGGTTGTATGTGTTCTTTGTGCAGTCCAAGCAATCCACGAAGTCAACAAAATCAATGGCTTGTGGTGATCTATGACATCTGCGTCAGACCACAATTGAAAAGACACACATGCACACAAATTTTTCGTGTTTAAACAACACTGCACATTCAAACATAATTCCATCTCGTCAATGATCTTGATCAACTGGTTGACAACATAACATGTTAAACTGTCCGGTCAGACAGAATCTGTCACCTCTCTCTGATGATGAACAACAAAAGAACATAATGATTATGAGATTAGTTGCACCAATTTACTTTGGAGTTTTTATAATAGGTACGGTTCCTGGGGAGTATGCTTCACCTATGCTGGGTGGTTTGGGATAAAGGGGTTGGCTGCTGCTGGAAGGACATATAAAGACTGCTCTAGTATCCGTAAAGCATGTGATTTTTTGTTATCCAAATAGCTTCCTTCAGGTGGATGGGGAGAAAGTTATCTGTCATGTCAGAACAAGGTTCAATGGTTCCTCAAATTTGAAATATCCTTGTCATTTCTAGGCCCAGAGCTTACTTCATTCTTTCAATTATGAAAAATTCCTATTATGTTGATGGCATGTGATTTGTCCCTTTTCTTAATTTCTGGTTTTCACTCACGTACACTTTTGACAAAATGTATGATCTAAGTTAGTCTTGCATGATTCTAATGCGGACTATCTCTATGCCAGGTGTATAGAAATCTCAAAGACAATAGGCCACATATAGTCCATACTGCATGGGCTATGTTGGCCCTCATTGGTGCTGGACAGGTACATTGATATCAATCGTATTCCTTCTTTTTCTTTTTCTTTTGTTATGTGGGGGAATTTTCTCACTAACACTATTGGAGAGGGGGATGGATGGAAAGTGGGAAAAGAGGTGGGAAAGAAAGCTGGGTGTATTCTAAAACTGCAGCAACATAGTTTTGGGGTGCTTTTATGAATAACTATATGAACTTCTACTACATGTTACTGACTTTTGTACCCATATGTTTTGTTATTTTCTCTTGTTTGATAGGCTAAGAGAGACCCAACTCCATTGCACCGTGCAGCTAGAGTACTTATAAACTCTCAAATGGAAAATGGAGATTTTCCTCAAAAGGTAAATCTAGCCACTTTCTCTGGAATTTGTTCGTGTAAAAAAACATTGTGTTCTCTTGCTTGACTGTGCAATTGAACTATGTCCTGAGAATCTACAACTACAAAAGAACATGCAACTCTATGGTCAAAGAAATACATTTGCTTTGGTTTGATTGTACATGCTAACTGTAATATTACTCAACACATTTAGTCTTGGATACCTGCCACACATTTGTGTTGCAGTGGAACACACTCCCTGACCATCCCATATGATATGCAACAGTCACTTCCTCCCGCAGTGGACTGCCAGTAAACTTGAAAAATAACCTGAAAGGAGTCACCTCTGCGCTAAGTGATTCCAAAAATAAATCAACTGTGATTACCAATTACCACTGGTACATGAACTCAGTAATTCTTTCACTTTGCTTACAGGAGATCACGGGAGTCTTCAACAAGAACTGCATGATCAGCTATTCGGCCTACCGAAACATTTTTCCCATTTGGGCCCTTGGAGAATATCGTTGTCAGGTATTGGAGGCCCTCTGAATGATGTTCAATGCTTAGTATTCCAGAAAATGAATTGTTTTTCATCAACCCGTATGAGGGCTCCTTGAACTCTGCTCAAATCAATGTACTTCATAAATTAATGTTTATCAATTTACAACATGGCTTTGATCACATGAGTTTTCGTTATGCATTAGTTGTAACAATTCTGGACATCAACAATGGTCTTCTGCAGCAAAGCAGTGTCCAAATAAACAGGGGTTTGTGGCCCCAAAGTAGAGTCATTTTAGGAAGGTTATCAAGGTTTTTAGAGTCTTTTCAAATTGATCATTTTAGGAACATCTGACACGGTCTTTTTGCCAGTTAATGTTGTAATCGTAGTCATCGCCTAAGAAAAGCATAATTAACATGACACAAATAGAAATTTTATTTTGTTTTATAATTTGAACAGGAAATTCAATCTCATTGAATTGTAAATAGGTAACCTAGCTTCCTCATAGATTTATTGACACATTGCTTATACACAGTTATTCTCAATAGGCATCAAGCTGAACCTCGTAAAAAAAATAAATTCAACAGGCTATTATATGTTTCATCCTTTAAGTTGGATGAGCTACACAATACAGCAAGTGACTTAGGCTTTGGAAGGCAATGGGACCTGCTTGCGGTACTCTGCAAGAGCCCACAGAGGGTAGATATTTCTATAAGTTGCATAATGTAGCATGCAGTTCTTGTTGAATACTCCAGTGATTTCCTGCCATAATTCAATGATTAGTGGTTAGATTAAGCGTCAACAAGATTGCAATGCAAGTCATCAATATTACAATGAAAGTCACGTTGTGCTAAGAAATATACCTGTTGGGGAAAATCACCATTTTCCATTTGAGAATTGATAATTAACTTCGCTGCACGATGAAGAGGTGCAGGGTCTCTGTCTGCCTGTCCAGCATGAATCAGACCCATCATAGCCCATCCAGTGTGTACTAAATTTGATCGGTTTCCTTCAAGCGGAATGTACTCCTGTATCACCCACCACAGAGACATAATTATAATGTAAGACAATGGGATTGTTTAAGAAACTTGAAGGTTAAAAATATAACACCTCCCACATTTTACCTTTTTGGGACATGAAAGGTAGCTCTCTCCCCAACCACCATTCTCTCTCTGTGTTTTGAGTAGAAAGTTAACCCCTTTGCGCATGGCTAAACAATTATTGAAAGTCTTGCCGGCAGCTGCTAACCCTCCAAGGGCAAACCAGGAACCATATGTGAAGCAAACTCCCCAATTTCCATACCATGAACCATCTGGCATTTGTATGTTTTCGAGGTACTCTGTAGCATTGGTAATGAAATGATCAATCTCTTTCTTCCTGTGCCCAGGGTACAACTTCTTAAACAGAACCAAAGCCTGAATTGCAGATGAAGTACACTCAACATATTCATGCTCAACCACAATGTCCTCGAAGAATTCAGTGGGATTTAACATCTAGAGGAAGTAAAAAAGAATTCAGTGGGATTCAACATATCTGCTAATGGATATTTCAAGAAAATTAACTTCTTACACATCTGACATATTTGCACAAGAACATGACCAATTTGTTAAAATTCTTACTTCTAACCAGTCTGCAGCTCCTGCTGGTTCCCAGGCTGCTAAACCACCATTTTTACTCTGCGTAAAATAAGGCTTTTTATTTATGAGTTTATGACTAGAGGTTCAAGATTAAGAGTACTTGAAGACACATTAGTTGTCACCTGTAGGGAAAGTAGGACGTTGACAGAATCATATAATCGCTCAGGTTCCATTTTTTCACCAATTATCTCAGGTCGCATCATCGAGAACAGCAGGCAACACTGTAGAGGGGGCTATCGTGAGAAACATGGAGATAACAAACAGGGTGGATATCTAAATTGAAGTGTTCGTTACCTTTAAACCCTCTGCAGTGCAATCAGAAACTTGCCATCCATGGTCTTGATCAGAGAAAGTCCATGATCCTTTGGAAATATGGCGGTACATGCTTTTGAAGTCACCAGATGGATTGTCCTTGACCTGTACAGTTTGGGTGCAAGGGATTCATTAGTCTGAACAAATTAATGGTTACTCATTCACATTTTAAAAAAATGATAATTGAGTTCACTGATGTTAAAAATGAACCTGAGATTTCTTGATGAAGTCATGTCCTCTAGCGAGCGTAGGTCCAATTTCATCAGTGAGATTGCTAGCGAGCAAAGCTTGAATGGCAAAACCAGTATCCCATTGTTGGCTGCCAAAACTCTGCATATAGTTGAGTTACACTTTGAATTAATGACCAAAGGAGCAAAACTCTGTCTCAAAATTAAATGCATACAACTATATAGTGAAGTGTAAATGTTTAACTGCTACTGTTTAAACAAAATGTGTACTAACTTGCATCTTCATCCCATCTTCAGCAACCCATAAATAATCTGGGATTCTGGCAAGATGCTTCTTAAAATAGTCCCCATTTGGATCTTCAGCCCAACAAGCAAGCATGCATAACACCTGTTCAAGTAAGGCAACATTTGTGAATAACACGAGAACCTCAAAACTATTAGCATCCTTCATTGATTCTGTAATCGCATTACCTTTTCAACACATCCAATGGTAATATATCTGCTGTTCTCATCTTCATAATGAATATGCTTCATTGTTACTTGAAGAGCTTTTTCTCTGATCAACTTGTTAAACGGCCAGCGATTAAGAAGAGGCTCTGTACATATGTAGAGACTATCCCACATGATGTCCTGTATCCAAGGGTGAGGGTAGTAGATATCCTCCTGCAATTAAATTACTGTAATCAGGTTCTGTAATTGAACAAGAAACATAAACTGATTGACTAGTTTAATTAAGTTAAACTCACTTTTGCGCAGAGATGGCGCACTCCCTTCCAATTAATTTCATGGTAAGGTTCAGCATATAGTTCTTCCCTTAAGTGCAGAATGAGAGGAGTGATTGGGCCAACAAACCTCTTCCCATATAAATATGACATGGGCATGTAAACCATCCTACAATAACACCACATTTTTGCTGCATTTTCAAGATAAAAGAGGTTAAAAATTAAGACTTCTAACTAAATCACAAGGACATTCCTGGAGTTCACAGAATTCTTCAATCAGTAGGTGTGCTAACCTGGGTGCATAGGAAGAAATGAAGGCAGCATCCAAAACTCGGGCGGCATTGGGTTGCTTCCAGACCACTCAAACACGCCAAGTATCTACAACAAAAGCAACATACTCATATTAATTCAAGCCTAATAAATGCGCAACTAGTACTCATATTTTTTCCATTCAACAAGGCCGTACGTACCGAAAGCCAAGTCTTTCCCCAAGAGGGCATGTGTGTGACACTACCATGATCAAGAATCCATTTCCTTGCTCTGGCACAAGCATTGTCCTGGCCTCCATCAGGTCCTTCTCCAAGAATGCGCATACAAATGTAGCTCAGGGCTGTGCCGAACATGGTGCTGTGGCCTTCAATATGTAATCCCCAACCACCATCTTGATTCTGAAAATACATTACAATTCTTTATATACTAGTTTAACACAAAATATGCACAATGAGTGGAAATTAAATTTAAAAATTGATCCCATTTGTATGATCCAAATAAATATGTATGCACCTGATGATAGTATATGTAACGCAGAATTTCTTTGCGATGCTCTGCTGGGAATACAGTATTAAGATGCCCTGTAATGTATGTACACATGACCTGCAAAAAAAAACAAAAGAATTAAAAAGGGAAAATTAGTAAAACGCTCCAAAATTTTAGTAAAAAATCTCTAATAAGTAATTGTAATTATAAGGAAATTAGAAATTATATACTCACCAAAGGAGGAAGGAAAAACAATGGGCCAGCATTTTCAGCAGGCCAATGGCCATCACTTGCCTGCAAGGCTGAAAAGAAGTGAACAGATCTTCTCAGTGAGGCTGTTGCCTTTTCATATGTGATTTCCTCGCCATCCTCAACCTTTACTTGGGGAATTGTCTGCTTGAAGTTCTTCTCTTTTAGGAACTGCAGTTTAGTGAACAGAGGAGTATTAGAGAAAAAGTAAGTTTTTTCATGATGCTGATTATAGAACAAACTTATGAGTGCTAAAAAGAAGAAAAGGAATTCAAAAGTTGACAGGTTCAAAAGTTTTTCTTTATTTATTTATTTTTGGTAAGATATGATATCAAGTTTGAAACCCCGTAGATTCTTATAATAATAAAAACCAAGACAAACCTATCATATTTTATACCCACACACACTCATGTTCTCTTGCTAAACTCAAATTTACAGTTTGAGGACATAAGTTTAATAAGAGAATATTACGGAGTAGTAATGAAATTAAATGGATAAATACCTGCATACGCCATAGGAGGTCACCGCTAGGCTTGACCTGATAGCGATTATTGTAAAAATTAAGACGAGCTTCTTCCACCTCAGCTCGCTCTTCGGGAGTTCCTGCCTCAGGATCAAACTCAAATATCTGCCTCCCCACAAAGTCGTTTGTGCTGTAGATGTAAGGGTCATTCCCTCCATCTGCAACCTTAAGCTTCCACATTCTTCAATATCTCTTATTAATTATATATCAAGGTATATATATCTTCTCAGTAAGAACCTGTTTCATGCACAGGCAATGTATAAGTAACACACCATAAAGATGTGCTAAGTAGCTATAGGTGAATATATACAGTGCATGTTCAAGAAAATCTTATATATAGTGCAGATTAATCATAGGATCCCCTAGCTTTCCATATTTTGTAAATGTCTCAATTGTTGTATATATAGTGTGTATGGATATTAGAGAGAGAGAGAGAGAGAGGAGAGAGAGAGAGAGAGAGAGAGAGAGAGAGAGAGAGAGAGAAGAGACCCCGTACGTGCAGTTTGCAGTTTGCAAAGAAGAAGCTGCAGAAACCTTATTGTAGAGTTTGGTTATATAGCTAAGAATGAAAGAGAGGTGGGCTTGGCCAGATAGCTAACTCAGATATATTTGTGTGTGTATATTGTATATGTATGGTTAATACGCGCAGAGAGAGAGAGAGAG